AGACTGTGGTCTCCATGCAGCATGCAATTTCCAGCTGATCTGTAACACATTGCTTACTGCATGAGTAAAGTCAGAGATGAATGTTGGCCCATTATCACTCTGGATGGAGCTGGGCAACCCAAAGCGAGGGATTATCTCCTTCAGCAGCTCTTTTGCCACCTTGGAAGCTTTCTTCGTCTTTGTGGGAGAAGCTTCCACCCATCCGGAGAACGTGTCCACAAAATCCAGTAGGTATTTGAAACTGCCTGTTTTTCTAAGTATTTGTGTAAAGTCCACCTGCCAGTCCTCAAAAGGGTACTTGCCCCGATATTGAACCCGAATGGCTTTAGGGTGGGAGTAAGTCTTGGGGTTATTCCTGGCACATAGTTGACAGACCCAGGTGTGCTATTTTATGTAAATATGGGTCCTTCAAATATGGGCGCACTGTTTCTAATAAGGCATCTCTCCCATAGTGAGATCCTCCATGAAGATGTTTTAGCATCGGATATACCAGGGCCTCAGGGAGGAGTATCATCCCATGGGAGTTTACTCTCCAAGTGGAGCTGGGGTCAAACTCAGTAAATCCCCATGCACAAGCTCTCTCCTCATCCCGCTCAGTGTAGTCAGGAGCATACTGAGTCAGGTCCACAAGAGGGATGAGTGCACTCTGAGGAAAGGGGAAATGAGGGAATGTACAACTCAGGGAGAAAATAGGGAGATAAAGTATTAAATGCGTCCTACCCATTCCGCCGACCTGGAAACCCAATGGTACTCTGAGATCTGGCCGCGAGCCAAGAGCCGTGAAGCCAAGAAGGGGGCCCCCAAGACCCATGTGTCTGGTTTTATATCAAACCTGGCTGCGTAACTCCACCCTCAGGTCCCAGCAACCCTCTTTTGGTGGTGATGGAATTTGTCTTTCCCAGTGTCCTGATGGCTTTGGTCTGGAGTGGGGGTGGAGTCCACAAAGCCTGTATGGAATTAGCTCAGGACTTCCTTTCCCCCTAACACTTTGATGGGCACATGTTTTAATATTTGGTAATTAAGCATATGGCTTTGACAGGGAATTAGCAATAAAACATAAAGCAACCCTATTCAACACCTTTTGCTGCTTTAGATTTCACCATAACTTACAATTTAATTGTCAGAAATTCTCTTAAGAAAATGTAGCTTCCGTGTTTAGCCTTTGGGGATTTGGGCTTCTCTTTTTGGTAATTTATGTGACACTTATTGATATAAGAGTGTTAAGTCATAAAGTGCATGCTTTGAATTGTTTCTGTCAGTAGAGACTTCCGAATTTAACAGATGCAGACAGGTGAAGACCAGGAAGAGGGAATGTAAATCGCATATAGGAAAGTATCCACTGTGGCAGAAAAACAGAAACCAAATGGTGGGGAAGTGTTAAATAAGGTTAAAATTAAGCCCCTACCCCTTGCCCAGCAGGAAGGTTTGGGAGGCTTGAACACAGAGAGAACTGATAAGGCTGCTCTGGGTCCCAATCCGTAAGATGGATCCCTTTGACCAGGAATGTGGAGGCAAGGCCAGGACACATTCTGGGTCAAAGATCAACCCCCCAGGATCAGACTCCCCTGCACTAACCAGCCCAAAACTTACTCCCCAAAGCAAAAATGACAAAACCAGTTATAAAAGGGAGCCCCCAAATCTTTCTTCACTTGCAGATCTTTCCTGTCTCCCCAGCTGCTTCATTAGCAGTGTATTTGAACAAATGTGCCTTTTCTGTTCTCCAGTCTGCCTCTGGTGAAATTTTTCACCCCTGCACCTCTCGCCTGTCAAAGTATCATTAAGAATTTGAAAACCAAGCTCCCACTCCTTACCCAGCAGGCAAGTAGGAGAGGCTGGAATGATAAAGGGAGTGGATGGGACTGCCATGGAAACATGGTCCTTAAGCTGGTGAAGCCCGGAACTGATGACCCTCTATGCTGATTCGGATCATCAGTCAGGACACACCCAAGACTAGTCACCCTAACCAGTCAATGGTTCTAAAGTATAGAGACTTGGGACCCAAACTCTGAGCAGTACAACCTTCCTGGTTCGCCCTCTGCTTCTTTTAGCAGTGTATTTCAATAAATTCACCTGGTCTTTCCCATCTGTCTCTGGTGAATTCTTTCACCCCTGCAACAGGGCCTACCCCTTGATTCTTCCCCACAACATTATATATCAATAATCTTTGTTAGATAGAGTGGTGTGATTTCTTATAAAAGAAGATGGAATTTAACCTCTTCAACTACACCAATCTTCTATTTACCTAAACATCTACTCTTTTTCTCTGAATTCAGCAAATAGAAATGAAACTTAAAAAAAAAAAAAAAGCAAATAGCAATTATATCTACCAAGTTGCTCAGGATAGGAACTTTGGCAGCATCTTTAATTTCTGTCTTTCCCTCACTTTCTATACCCATCCACATCAGTCCTATTAGCTAACAACCTATGCAATACACCACTCTGACCCACTCCTCTCTCTTTGTCTACTGCAAGTTTCTTGGTTGTTTTCCTGTTGCATTCTTGTTCTCCTACAATCTAGTTTCCCCAATGCAAAGAGATTTTTCTCAAACACAAATTATTCAATTCACTCCACTCGCCAACACCTCTCTCCATTTTCACAATTAGCATGAAGTTCTGAGTGACTAGTTTCTGTGAATATCTTTGACCTTATCTCACAATTCCTTCTCCTTTGTCCACATGAAACACTGACCTCCTTTTTCTTACTGCAGGGTGATTCAGTCCTTTCTGCCTCTCTGTGCTCCCCTCTGCAATTGTGCTTTCTCCCAAACTTTGCTGTATGCATCCTGGTCTGTCAATAGAGTTCATATTGTCATTTATTGAAGTCTTATAATTTCCATTAAAGAATAATGTTTTCATAGCTTTACAGATACATACATTTTATTAAAAATATCCTTAAGGGTTTCATATTTTGATGTTATCCTGAATGGTATTGAAAATTCAGCTGGTTTGTTTCGATCCTTTTTACAGATCCTATAACCATTTGGTATTTCTCTGTTGGATTATTTTAAAACTTATTTATATTGCTTTTTTTTTTCCCTGTCACTGAAAAGTCATTTTTATCACATTCTCTCTATATTTTAATCACTAGAACACTATCAATTCTACAAAAGTACAGTGTAGTTTCTCAATAATTAGTCATTGTTTCTTTTGAGTGAATATCATATATAGGTAACCTTGGAAAAAATGATTGACCTCTCTTCTCAAAATCTCCTTCCTCAGATACTTATTAATGTATTTGTAAGTGCACATATTGATATATGTAATATACATAGAATTAAAACAATGATACTTATACTTCCTGATATTTATCACTATTAAATCAATTTTGGTAAGTGTTAAAAGCATCGTAAAAAACGAAGTATTCTGAATTTCCTAACATTTTTGTTTAGTATTTAAGCACATTGGTATTGTTATTACCTATTGTGTTTGTAGTTTGTGCCTTCTCAAAGGAAATATTGTGTATATAGTGTTATTATTTAATGTTATTTTTCTACTAAACTAGACTCCATGACACAATTATAGCCCCCAAAAAGAAAGACATGCTGAAAAAGAAATCTGAAATTACCTCTTGAAAATTTTAGAATTTAAACCTTACTAGTTAACTCCAACAGTAGTAACTGTGCCTCCTTTTTTTTAAAAAAAAAATTTTTTTAAGATTTATTTTATTTATACAAAAACTGTGGTAAAAGCCAAATTCGCGGGAGGGTGAGAGGATTCCCCAGAGACAGCCTGGAACAGAACAGGCAGACTGACTGAAATCCACTGCTGAGGGGAGCAGCGGGCGGGGCAGGAGGGGTCTGCGCGCCACGTGGGCCCTCGCGGGCGCGGCAGAGGCTGTGGACAGCTCCCCAGCGCGCGCCCAACCGCCTGCGCCCCCTGTTTGCTGTTCTCCCCACAGTGTGAGCGCGACAGTAAAGCATCTGCACAAGGCGGGGCCAGGATGGGGACGCCTGGAAAAGCCAAAACCCAGGACGGGATTGCTCAGGACAGATGAAAGGGCCTCTCGGGCATTCCAAGGGTTGTCGTTAAGCGGCAGCTTCTTCCTTAAAGCTGAGAAACCGCTGGGGGTTCCCTCTGCCAATGGCTGTGGCCTGTGGCTCTGACGCCACAAAGAGCCCTTGTGACGGCACCGGCACCGCCTCCATCAGGCCCGCCCGGACTGCGCCTGTGTCCTCAGGAGCCGGGAAGCTCTGGACAGTGACCTGTGCACTCCGGACGCCGAGAGAGACAGTGAGAGCCTGTTTTGGGGTATTTGGTTTTCTTTGGGTTTATTTATTGCTTCACTTATTTAGTTATTTGTTTAGGCTATTTATTTTAGTTATTTTACTTTTCTTTCTTTGTTTTTTACATTATTTTCCTTGATTTTTTTTTTTTTGTATTTGCTTATACTTTTTTCTATTTTTTCTTTTTCCTTTTATTTCCTTGTTTTTTATTTTCCTTTATTGTTTTGTTATTGGCTTTTTTTTCTTTTTTATGTCAGTTTTTAGTTTTTTGATTTTATTTTTTGAATGATTTCCCCCATTTTCCCTTCTGTTCTTGTTTCATTGCTTGTTCTTTCTTCCCCTTTGTCGTTTCTCTGGTTTTTTGTTTGTTTGTTTTTTCCAGTTTTTAGTTTCTAATTGTGGTTTGTTCTGTTGTTTATTCTATTGGTCTTTGTTGTTCTGTTTTATTCTTCAATTTAGTGGTTAGTTTGTAATTGGTTTATTGTTATCATATTTTTACATTTTTGTCTCATTTGTAATTTTTTTGATTGTGTATTTTTATTTATTTGTAGTGTAGTTAGTATTGCTAGTAAGGTTAGTGAAGTTAGTATTGCGGGTTGAGTTAAGTTAGCATTGTTAGTATTTAGTGAGGTTTAGTGAATACTTTTTGAGTACTATTAATACTAGTCCATTTGTTAATATCGTAGGAGAGTCATTTGTCAGCGGAGGTAGCGCAAGGGCTGTGAGCACAGTCAGGGCTGGTGAGTGTAGTCTGCATAGTCCAAGTGCATAGGCGCTATGTGCAATCGCCTCAGTCCCCAGGGACATAAAGTAAAAAGCTACCAGGCGCTGCGGGCGCTGGGGCGGGGAACCCACACCAAGGTTATGCTGGCGCTGCACGTGCTCACGGGCATGAAGGTGCTCATCAGGGAAGTCCGCAAGTCCGAGCTGCCCGACCTCCGCCTCCTGGCCCGCGAGATGGGGTGCATGAAGGCCCTTTATCACCCGAACATCGTGGAGCTTTTCCAGGTGGTGGACACTGGGCCGAAGCTACACCTCGTCATGGAGTACGTGCAGGGGGAAGACCTGCAGGACTTTCTGAGCTAGCGTGGGCACCTGGAGGAGAGCGTGGCCTGCCAGCTCTTTCAGTAGATCCTCGTGGCCCTCAGATACTACCATGCCAAGGGCATTGCACACCGGGATGTGAGGCCCCGAGAAAGTTGTGCTGATCTGAGAAGGAAAAGTCAAGCTGGCAGACTTCTGGCTCAGCGTCCAAGGCTTCCCCCAGGCACTAAGCACATGCTGCTGTCACCCAGAACACAGGGCCCCCGAGGTCTACCTTGGCCAGTGGTACAACGGCCCCAAGGTGGACGTGTGGAGCCTGGGCATATTGTGACCGGCATACTGCCCTTCAGGGTGCCAAGCCTCAGGGCGATCAGGGAGCGCGTCCTGGGCGGGAACGTCCACCTGACCTCCTACCTCACAGTCCAGGGCGGGGACCTGCTGGCCAAAATGCTGGCACAGGACCCCTGGAGGCGCCGCCCCCTGGAGAGCATCCAACAGCATGCCTGGGTAGCAGAAAGAGCGAGGGACTCCTGCCCTTCAGCGAGCCATTGCTCAGACCCCAGGACTCAGCCATAATCAAAGCTATGGAGTGCCTGGGCTACCAGAGGCAGGAAATTCGGGAGGCCATTGACGCTAACAAGTACGATGAGGTCATGGCCACCTACCTGATCCTCCGCTCCAGGAAGCAGGAGGGGGAGGAGTACCACAAAGAAGAGGGGGAGGAGCGGCCGAGGCACATCACCTTCCGGGAGCCTGGTGACCCCGATTCCAAGGACTGCCCTCCCACCCCCCACAACCTGAGGTTTCGGGGAATACCCCAAGCCAGTTATCCTGCGAAAGTACCCAGTTGAAAAGAGCGGAAAGGATGCCCCCACCCCACCTCCTGCAGCCTGAGGTTTTGGGGAATACCCGAAGGCCAGGTATCCTGCGAAAGCAGGAAGTCCGAAAGAGGGGAAAGGATGCCACCCCGGGCAACAGGGTCATCTCCGCCAGGCACCTGAGCTGGAGGACGCCCAGGAGCACACCACTGCTGCAGGTCCTAGCGCCCTGCTAGAGGACACCCCAAAGGGCAGACCCTCCGCGCTAGGCCCAGAGCTGGAGGACGCCTGGGGGGACACCAGCACCTCTGTGGTCGGACCACAGCAGGAGGACACCAGGGAGCACAGCAGCACCTCGGTGTCAGTCCTCCAGCTGGAGGACGCTGGGGAGCACGGCAGCACCACTGAGACAGGCCCCCAGCTGGAGAGGGACCAGGAAAGCAGGGCCAACACAATCTGTCCAGCTCCCCAGCCCTCCAGCACCACCCTAAGACCTCCCCCAAGACGTGGCTGGCCTTTCAGTGCAGTGGCCCCTTCAGCCATCATCAGGGCCAGAGATAGGGTATTAGAAATTATCCTGGAATTTTGTTGCTGCTGTGCAGCATTGGAACTGGAGAGCAACAAAGATTGAAAATAGCGCCATACCCGGCAGAAGACCTCCACCCCCAAAGCACAACCACTCAGTGGCCATGGGGAACAGGAGTACACCAGGGAAGGTTGAGGCTCTGGAGAGGCTCAGGGGCTGGGCCCACTCAGTGGGGCCAGGAGTAGCATGAGACTCACAGGACTGCAGCACAGAAGTCTGGGCAGCACAGATGTCCTTGGAGCACAGATGTCCCTGGAGCAGAGCAGGTGAAGGGCCAGGCAGGCAACGAAACTGGTGAAGCACCTGGAGGGGAGCAGAGCGGGTGAGGGGTGGGGTGTGGAGGGGTTGGGGAGAGCTGAGCAGGTACAGGACCAGAAGAGGGGTGTGGGGCTGTGTGGGCAGAGCCTCCAGAGGCCCCAGGGCCAGAGGCGTGGAACCCTGGACCACTCTCCCCCATCTTAGGTACTGCCCCCTTGGTGGGAGAGACCTGCTGCTCACTCCTGGGCACATGGATGGTGCAGAGGATGCAGGAGCTCTTGCAAAAGCTTAGGTCCAGGTAGTAATACGTGCAGATTGCAAGGAGCAGATAGAGAGGCTCTCTAGCTCCCCTTAAGAAAGACTCTGGGACCAGTATATTAGAATCCAAACGGGACTCTCCAAGGTGGGCAGAGGTTATTTACAGAGCAGCCCTAATCCACCATGACCTGCTCAGCTGGAAAATCCGCACATCTTCCTGCTCCACGAAGCCTAGGCTATGATCAATCTCAGTCCCACAGCGAGCACAACTAGGTGTCCAGTGTCCCCTGGACCGAAGCTGCAACTCGTCGTGGAGTACGTGCAGAAGGGATTTTGCAGCTTGGGATTCTGACACAGTGTCAGCCCAGCTGGAATTTCTCCTTTTAAAAATCCTCTCCAGATGGCCACCCACCCTTCCTCCTCCCTGGATTCAAACCCCGCAGTGTGACCTTAGCCAAATTGGAAACATTAATATCACCTCACAGATGCAGGCTTTGGACAACATTCACTGCCAATTAAATCACTGGATACAGGAATGAAAAGCTACAGTGGCTATCTACCTTTTTTCATCATTGTTTAGACGGTGTTCAATTCCCTTCTAAAACTAAGGTTTTGCTAAGTCTGGTAAATGCAAGTGAGGTGAGGTATGTGTGTTTGAAAAAAGAAATGTATGGAAGAGGGATATTCTGAAGGGCCTTAAGATAATGTAAAGCAGGATGGGTAAAATGAAATGGCATTAGAAAGAAAGCAAGCAAAAGAAAGTGTTGAAGGTCTGAGAGAGAGATTTTGGTGAGAAATCGTGTGTACTCAGGTGTCTCCCCCGCCCTCCAACACATTCATGGGCTTGCTCATCTGACCAGCAAAGGCCCCTCTACTGACACTTCGTCAGCCGAAGCTGGGGCCAGGACATCCAAACGTGGACCAGCTCTCCCTTACTGCCATGGATCCTTCCCATAGTAGGCCCAGTGATCATGATCATGCTTTTCTTTGTTTCTACACCCTGTTTGCTCTGCTTTATCCAGAAAAAGCTCTCTGAGATAAGCCTTCACTCTCCCAGACCCGGGAAAGCCATTCCTGTTATTGACAGATGAGCAACAGGGGGTTGCTCTAGGGGTTCTGGGCCAACCTGGGCCAGTCCAGTGACCAGTTGTTTATTTCTCTAAACAAATGAATCCCACAGTAAGATGATGGCAGCCCTGCCTGCGTGCACTTGCGGCAGCTGCTCGTCTCGCTAGACAGGCCTTAAAACCCACACTGGGCCAACCTGTACATGTTAGTTCTCCACATCGGCTCCAGGACCTGCTCATTCACCAGGCTCTCTCCCCTCCATCACCCTCTTGTCTGTTAGATTTCTACTCTCTTTGTCAAAGATCCTCTCATCTCCCTCTCCCAATCCTCAACTCTCCATCCTGCTAGGCCTCACGGGTGTTCCACTCCCTAACGCAGATAACACCCTCTTCTTACTATGGTGGACACCATTACCAGTCGGACAATGGACCTGCCTTTATCTCAAAGATTACTCCACAGGTCTCCTCCCTGGGCATCACCTGGAAACTACACATTCCCTCCCGACCACAACCCTCTGGTAAGGTAGAACGGGTAAATGGTCTGACCAGAGACCACCTAGCCAAACTCTCCACTGAGCCCGCAAATCCTAGGTGGAGCTGCTCCCACTGGCTTTAATGCACCTCCGAGCCACTCTCTGTGGCTCCTTGTTCCAGAGCCCCCTTGAAAGGATGTATGGCAGACCTGTTAAATTTATTGAAAAGTTGCAAAGATAGTACAGTTCTTATTTATTCCACACCATTTCCACTTTGTTAACATCTTACATGAATTTTTTTTGTATTTTTTTTACAGCTAATGAAGCAATATTGACACAATTACCAAACTCTGTGCTTAATTTCATTACTTCTTCCTAATGTACATTTTATGTTCGATAATCCAAATTGCCTCATTCAGTTAGAGCCAGTTCTCTTCGATGTGCCTCTTGCTGACTCTTTCTCTGACTTTGCTTGTTTTTATAACATTGACATTGGTGAGGAGTGATATTTTGGAGAGGTGTTGGGTTCACAGTTGGGGTTCTTGGGTCATGTCCGAGAAAACTTTGACCAGATTCCCCCATTCACATACACAGTGAGTTTCCCCACAAGACAGAGACTTTTAGTCTCTGCCAAAGAGAAGTTTTATTATTTCTTTTTTTTTTTAAAAAAGGGAAAGAGTCAGAACTCTGCTACCCTCCTCCACCCACTGAGTAGGCTCTCTCCGACCAACGGAAAGGAGGGAAAAAAAAAAAAACCAGCAAGAACAAACTACAGATCAAGTGGGAAACTGAGTAGAGAGGAACTATTTCAGGCACCACACCCCACAAATGGGAACTGTGGAGAACGGTGAAGAAATCACCACAGAGGTGATCTAGCGGCTCCGGGAGCCATCAGAGGAAGACAAGGATTCCACGGTGACCTACAAATAGTCTAAGGCCAGCCGAGAACCACTGGGAAAAAGCAAAGGTCAGCAAGGACAGGTCTCTGGTGCCACCTCATGACCAGAACAAAATCACCAACTAACTGATTCCCTGTTGGAACTAAATAAATACAGAGGGAGGGAACTGTAAGGGACAGTGCCCAGCAACACAGCATCAACACTCTGGTGGAGTTTTGGTCTACCAGTGCTAATCCCAGTCTGGTGAACAGTTTCCGACACCCCTAAAGGAGCACTCCAAAGAGATGCTCGCCAACACCAGTGGCACATGTCCCAATGAATAGAACTAAATTGAAAGCAAACAACAGGGAGAAGAAAACATAAATAACCAAGCAAGCCTGCAGGGGAAGGACACACCACAAAAAGAAATACAGTCACCAGAGCTCAGCAATGACATGGAAGAACTTCTCGGCCTATCAGATAGAGAATTAATGCTCATCATGATCAAAAACAAAGAAAACAAAAATGAAAAAAATGATTTGAGACAAATAATCACTGAAGAATGAAATTGAGACCTTAAGAAAGGAAAGAAAAGAAACACAGGAGATTAAAAGATTACTAGAGGAGATAAACAACTCTGGGAAAAGCAATGAAAACAGAATTGGTGAAATGGAAAAATGGATCAGTACTATCTCAGGTACAGAAATAAAAAGAGTCAAAAGAAAAGAGATAGAAGAGCAAATAAAGAAGTATGAAGATACTCTTAGACAATTATCAGACTCCATGAAGAGAGGAAACATAAGAGTTATAGGCATTCCAGAAGGTGAGGAGACAAAGGAACAGAGAAATTATTCAAGGAGACAATTGAAGAAAATTTCCCTAGTATGAAAAAGGAGACGAACATAGACATACAAGAAGCGAGAAGAACTACCAATTACCACAATGAAAAGAAAACTACAGCAAGACACCAAATAGTAAAGCTTGCAAGAGTCCAAGACAAGGAAAAAATAAAACAGGCAAGGGGAAGAAAAAGATAACTTTAAAGGGAAAACCAATCAGGTTACCTTCAGAATTCCCCAAAGAAACATTACGGACAAGAAGAGAATAGAGTAACATATTCAGCAAACTTCAACACAGCAAATGCCAACCAAGAATACTTTACCCTGCAAAGCTCTCCTTCCTCTACAAAGAAAAGATATGGGCCTTCTCAGACAAACAGAAACTCCAGAAATTCATTACAATTAAACCACCACTCCAAAAAAATTCTACAAGTCCTAAAGCCACAACCAACAGAGGAATGAACAAGAAGAACAGAACAAACCAAGGAATAAAATCACAAAAAAAGACAAACAAAATGGCAAATACAGATGCCAACATATCAATATTAACTCTAAATGTAAATGGATTAAACTCATCAA